CCCTCAACCTTTCTCTGCTTCTGACTTCACTGGTCATTGCTTGTATTTCTTAGCCAGGATGTTTCATACAACATTCATATCTGGAAAAGGGAAGTTGGGGATTGTGGTATATCACTCCCAACCTCTTATACACTATGGTACTTTTGGAAATCATTTATTTGTATTGTGGTTTTCATATCTGTGAATTTAAATTAAAATAGTCCTGGAAAATAGTAGGTGACTGGTAGACATTAGCAGTCCTTTTAGTTATCTTTATAGAATACTCAATGATCTCATAATGTACCACCTGAAGACAGCATTGTGCTACTTTTCATGATTGCACTACTAACAGAAAATAGGCTCAGTTACTAAAGTGACACAGCACCAATGAGCTTTCTGACTTGTTGTAGACAGAGAATACAAATATCAGCAGCCTTGAAGAAAGGGAATTCATCATCATCATCATCATGATTGTTATTGAATTATTTTTGAGATAGGGTTCATTACATAGCTTGCTTGGAACTCACTTTATAAAACGGGTTAGCCTCATGATCCTCTGCCTGCCTCCTTTTCTCATGCTCTGCCGTTACAGGCTTGTGTTCCCTGGCATGGTTAAGTTTGCTTTCTGCATTGTATTCAGGATTCTCAGCTATTGTCATAATGTTTGTTTTTTTTAGTGACACTTGATTGTAGTATCTAGTTGACCTTGTCCTCCATACTTGCTATTCTTTCTTCTGCTTAATCACAACTTTGGTTGTATCTTCATTGTTTTTTGTTCTTGTTGTTCAATTAAAATTTTCATTTACTGTGATCATTTTTTAATACCAAAATGTCAATTTCCTTGCTGAAGTTTTCTCCTTGTTGCTCAGATTTTCATCAGTATTGTCAATTTTTACATCCATTTTCCTGGATCATTCAAACTTTGCTGACTTTCTATCTCTAGGGCCACTGAATTAATCTGCTTATTTGTATGCTTTTTTGAAGTCACTGATTATTTTTGCTAGTGCATTCCATATGACTCTTATTTATTTAACTGTCTGACTTTGGTTATTGAATAGTCATGGCCTTTGGGAAGGGTTCATCTTGCTTTGCTTTTAAAATATTTCTTCTGTTTCTGTTAACGTTTTATTGGAGACTTTTCCCCCATCAAGGGCAACTTTTGCTTCCCAAATGTTCTTTGTGACAATATGGTGCATTCATATGTGCAGCTGCCAGCTGTGTCCTTGTAGTCATCCTCCATCTCTGGCTCTACAGCAATCCCCCACATTTCCATAATGATCCCTGTGGCTTGGGAGGGCAGAGTAGAATATATAAGAACCATGTAGGGCTGAGCATTCTACAGTCTCTTATTTTCTGTGCCTTCACCAGTTGCGTGCCCTGTGTTAACCACTGTCTTCTGCAAATTGATGTTTCTGTAGTAAGGACTGACAGATACATTTATCTGTGGGTGATACAAGTAGTCATTTGTTGGTTTATTACTATGTACATTTAGAAGAATAGCAATAAGTTCACTCATAAGGCTTATGAACTGCCTGGCTGTAGGTTCTAGGCCTAGTAATAATTCAAAGTATTATTTTCATCTGTTGAACAGGATTTAAATGCAGTCATAAGTATTTGGTTACCAGTGTGATGCTCAGGCTGCTGTTGCACCAGTGGGCATGCACAAAGCAGTCATCAATGTAGATCACAAGGGTCACTGCCATACATAGAAGATTTTTTCTTTGGATAATTCATACATTTTTAATACAGGGCATCAATGAAAGACATGTGTTTGGTCATGTGCTCACTAATTTGGTGGACTGGCTCTCATAAGCCTTCACTGACAGTGTGGCCCCTTTGCATAGTCAGGCTTTGTGAGTTGCTGTAAGTCTGGCCCTTCAACTGGACTCCATGCCTAACCATTTCACCCCAAGCTCACCCTGTTAAACTCTAAATTTCTCAGCTGAGCATTGTTTTAAGAGCAGTTCTGGGGGTTGTCCCATGCCTTCAGTTTTCATGTCCCACAAAGTCTTAGGGGCCCTTGAGAAATTCCCTTGTTCAGTGATGTGGGTATAAAATTCCACTCTCTAACTTGCCCCATATCTAGTCATTCATCTAGGAAAGAGGCTATTTCAATAGAGAGCCTCAGAAACCACCATCTCTAGGTTTCCTTTTTCTTTCAGACACTCACATAATTGTCATCTTCCTTTGTAGCAGGAGCCTCTGAAAGATGGCTGCAAGTAGTTGTGTAGGAAAGACCTTGAATAATACAACATCTATGGACGTGATGGGATGTACACCAAAATTAAACTGTTTCACAATGTTAAGACCTAATATCCTATCAGATTGTTTGTGATATTTACAAAAGCTCAAGACCATGCAACCTCAGGCAGAATTTTACCTCTGGTCTCACAATATAACTTCCATGTCTCTGTGAGAAAACTGATGAATTTCTACACGAATTTCTGTTGAACTGAAATATGACAAAATTGTAGGAGCCAATATTGACACGAGACATCCTACAAAGGATCTGTAGTGTGTGTGTGTGTGTGTGTGTGTGTGTGTGTGTGAGAGAGAGAGAGAGAGAGAGAGAGAGAGAGAGAGAGAGAGAGAGAGAGAGAGAGAG